TCTTTATTGTGACTGGGGTTGGTTGTCTCGAAACTTTCATTATTTTTGTTTTTTCCACATTCATTTCCATGCCATAGCACCTTCCAATTTCGATTAGTCTATCAATCATACCCTGTAGCACAGTTTCTTCCTCAGCCATTAACACAAGGTCACCTGCATATTTCACAGTTTGAATAATTTGCCCTCCTAATTTGAAGTCTCCAAGCCCATCCAGAGCTTTCTTGGTAAGGCATTCGCGCTGTACAAGTTGAACAGAATTGGTGATAAACAGCATCCTTGTCGAACTCCTCTTCCAATCTTCACACTTCCTGTCTCCCCTCTGTCCAGTCGCACTCTAACTTTCTGATCCATGTACAATTTACTAATCAATCTTCTTTCCCACCAATCGATACCTGTTTCCTTCAGGATCTGCATTAATTTGATCCAATTTACACGGTCAAATGCCTTCTGCCAGTCTATAAAGCAGGCCCACAGTTCTTCATCTATCTCCAAAGTTCATTCTGCTATAATTCTCATCATCCCAATTGCATCCCTGGTTCCTTTTCCTCTTCTAAATCCAAACTGATCCTCTCCAAATATATCCTCTATGTTCCTTTAAATTCTTCTTTTAAGTATCTTTGCTGTATGTGCTATAAGGCTTATTGTGCGACGGTCGCTGCATTTTGTAGCTTTTGTTTTTTTCTCTAAGGCAATCATTGTCACTTCTGTAAAGTCCTTGGGCCACTCTCCAGTTTAATATATGGTGTTTATTAGTTTTGTCAGTGATATTTATATACAGAGAGAGAGAGAGACAATGTAGGCCTAATACAAGGAACTTCAACTCCATGATGTAATATATTCTTGTAGCCCAAGTAAAAACTAACGCTTTAAAGTCCGCCGTTTCGTGTGTCAGCAGCCGGAGTAACATTGTGTTGGAGGAGATGGTGGCGTTAAGCGGCAGCGTAATTTATATCTAGGTGAGTATCGCAGTGTGCACCTTAGCCGATAAGTATTTTCAGCACACGACTTGGATGTCTACACCTCTTATTTATCCATACATAAATGTAACTGCCTTTCCAGTTGTTTTAGAGTTAATAAGTTAAGGTATTTTTTACGAAATTTTGCTCAAAGAGGCAAAATTTTGCTCATGCAAATGCTTTTTTCTTAGTATATTTTACATTCCAGATTCAATAATCTTAATATGTGTTACACATTCCCGTTTATATTTTAAATTCATACTCTAGCACGTCAGGGTTCGGGGTAGCTCATTCCGTAGAGCAAGGGCTACGGGATGGACAGACCAGGTTCGATTCCAGGCATTGCAAGATTTTTATCTTCTCCACAGTGTCCAGACCCAGTCTGAAGCCCACATAGCCTCCTGTCCAATGACTACTGGGGGCAAAGCCGTGGGGCATGAAGCTGACCTAATGGTCACCTAATGCCGAGGTCAAGATACGTGGAGCTATACCTCTACTTTCCCATATGTATTCATAGCATAGTGCGTAACCAATTCAGCTCAGGGATAACTTCATCTTTTATCCAAGCACATTCTGTCTGATAATGAACCAACTCATGTCCCGTTATGTTTAGTTAGAAATCCGTAATGATTTTGCAACACCTTCCTGTGAAATTTTAATGGACTGGGTGCTAATAATCAGACAAGATTTGCAGGAAAAAGAAACGGGCTTTTCTAAATGAGCAATTACTGCAACTGGAAGAAGACTTCAAAAATAACAAAACAAAAAATGCCTTTGTTCTAATCAAATATATGAAAGAAGGTTTCAAACCAAAAACAGAATTTATCCGAGACAAAAAAGGGCTTCTAATAAATAATAAAACAGAGATTATGAATACATGGAAAGAATATTTTGAACAATTATTAAATCAAAATCAGAATATGGAAGATAACGAGGACAATGAAGAAGAAAATACAGATGATGGAGAAGGGGAAGAAGAAGAGATAATAGAGCCTCCAACAAAGGAAGAAGTGGAAGAAGCATTAAAGGAACAAAAACTAAATAAAGCACCAGGAGGAGATAACATACCAGCAGAATTATTGAAGGCAGGAGGACAAGAAGGAATAATAGCACTCCACAGAATTATAAATAAAGTGTGGGAAGAAGAAAAGATACCAGAAGATTGGGGAAAGAGCATTATATGTCCCATATATAAAAAAGTGGATAAATTAACATGTAGTAACTATAGAGGTATATCATTACTGCCGACAGCATATACAATTTTAACAAGGATACTAAAAGAGAGACTGGATCCATATATAGAAAAAATAATAGGGGAATATCAATCAGGATTTCGACCCAATAGGTCAACAATAGACAATTTATTCATCCTGAGACAAATAACAGAGAAATGCTGGGAATTTAATACAGATATTTACCTACGCTTCATAGATTTTAAACAAGCATATGATACAATAATAAGGAAGAAATTAAGGATGATTATGTCCACTTTTGGTATTCCAACAAAACTAAGTAGAATAATTAACTTAACCATGACAGAAACAATCAGTCAAGTTAAAATCCAGAACCAGTTAACGGAATGCTTTAAGACAAATCAAGGATTAAAACAGGGTGATAGTTTGGCACCATCACTATTTAATTTGGTATTGGAATATATAGTGAGGAAATGTAATGTAGACACAAGGAACACAACAGCGTATAAACAAACGCAAATAATGGCGTATGCGGATGATATTATTATAGTATCGAGATCCCTAAGAGCAGTGAAGGAGACATATAAAGAAATAAAAACCATAGCAAAAACAACTGGCTTAGAGGAGAATGTAAATAAAACTAAAATGCTGATACAATCTAGAAGGAATCCAAGGCAAACTGGAGAAATTAACATGGAAGGGGATGGGATATAAATAGTTGAAGACTTCATATATTTAGGATCGAAATTCCACAAAGATGGAGAGGATAATCATGAAATAACAAGAAGGATAAAACTAGCGAATAATGCATATTTCTCGTTACTATCGGTTTTTAGATCAAAGGATATACACCGAGCGATTAAAACAAAAATATATAAAACAATGATAAGACCCTTGCTTTATTATGGATGTGAGGGTTGGACGCTAAACAAGAAAGAGGAATCAGTCATCAATTCTTTCGAGAGGAAACTCCTAAGACGAATTTATGGACCAATAAAAGAGAATGGGATATGGAGAATAAGATATAATAAAGAGAGTTATACAAATTATATAAGGAGCCAGAGATCTCAGTGACGATAAAGCTTAAAAGATTGCAATGGGCTGGGCATGTACAGAGAATGGATAAGGAGCGTATCCCAAAGAAAATATTATACAGTACAATAGGGGAAACCAAGAACTAGATGGATTGATGCGGTGGAAGAAGATGCAAAGAAGTTAATGGGCGTAAGGAACTGGAAGAGAGCAGCGCAGGATAGAGGAATAAGGGGCTTGATGAGGAAGG